TAAAATATCAGTTTCAGCTGGGTATGGTGGTGCACACCTGTAATCCCAGCAGTCTGGGAAGCTAAGGTAGCGGAATTGCAAGTTTGAGCTCAGTCTGGGTAACATAGTGACTTAGTAAGATCTTGTCTCAAAATTAAAAAAAAAAAGAAAGGGCTGGGCATGTACCTCACCAAGAAGGCCCTGGGTTCAATCTCAGTGCCACACACACACACACACACACACACATTCAGCTTGGTCTGTGGGATGTGTGATAGCTGTGTAAACCCACTTTGACCTATGACCTGAGCAAAATTCACTAGTGACAGAAGTGTCCTCACCGGGTACCTTGCAGACAGGTGCAGTTTGAAGAGCCCAATCAAGAATCTCCACCAGAGCAGAGTCTACAATCCGTAAGAATTCCAAACATCCTTCTCTAAGTATATGACTGGGTGAGGGGAGTGTTAAAAATCGCATAAGAGAAGGCATGAAACCTTTCTCGGGTAAGATGGTGGGCTGAATTTCTCCACCTACCTCTAAGAGCCCGAGACCCAGAAAGTTACTAAAAGATGGTGACAGTCATTCATGGTCCAAATGGGCTTTGGTCTGTTCACAACAAGCATAAAACAGGCCCTTAGCACACAGGCAGCCAGCGTGTACAGCAGACACACTGGGAACAAAGATATTGAACGTGCTATAGGTTTCAGTTAAAGCCTACATGCAAGTCACATGTGGAATGCTACTTCATCATTCTGTTTGCCCTAGTGGGATGTGGAACATATGGGGTGAACTAGATGAATCAATAAGGGATCCTTTCCCTTTCCTTTCAGCGACATATTTTCTGTGGGAGGTAGACATGTTCAAGGTAGTTCCACATGTCTCTGAAGATGCTTCCCCCAACTCTTCGCCTTCGTGAATACTCAAAATTGTAAGGCAGAAAATGTCAGTAATTCAGATTTACCCATCTGACCTTTCACTGGAGTAGAAAACCATGAAATCACTAGTGCTGACTCTGGAAGGTGCTTTGAAGCTGGTTGTGGTGGTGCAGGTCTGTAATCTGGAGGCTGAGACAGGAGGATTGCAAGTTTGAGCCCTGCCCGGGCAATTCTGTGACTTAGCAAGACTAAGTCAAACCTGTCGCAAAATAGAAATAAAAAAACAGGGCCGGGGATGTAGCTCAGCCTGAAGGCCCTGGGTTCTATCCCTAGTATTGGGAAAAAAAATGCTTTGAGAAGCTGTGCAAAGACTGCACAACAGGCTTGGCCCTAGCTGACGTTGCTCTGGGTAAGTATTTGAATGTCAGCAGGGACACGCAGTGAAGAGCAAAGTGCTTACTGCCTGGGCTCCACCGTCAGAAAGAGGCAGTGGTGGGCACGGGGCACAGAGATGATCTCTCAGAGGCTCTCAGCAGATGGGCACAGGTCAGGGGCATCACGGGGCCTGCATGGTCAGAGGCTGTTGCCTGGGGAGGAAGTGGGACTCAGGAGCAGCAGTCAGGGCCACTGAAGTGGGGAGAGGCCCAGTGGGGAAGCCAATGGGTCCAGCAGGGGCAGGAGGAATGAACACTGCTGTCACGGGACTTCGCTTTGGACACTCTGACAGGATGGTCCTCAGACCAAGCAGGGCTCGGATGCCAGGAGGGGCTGGCATGGAGGAGTGTGGAACGTTCCTCCTGCTCCTCCACCAAGGCTTTGCAGCCTTGTCAAGCAGGTCCCCAGGCTGACCCCAGGTGCCAAGTGGCTGTAAGCTCTGCACTAGTTATGGTTGAAACTCAGCACTGGAATTTGCATTAGCCACTTTCCTGCCACTGGGAGAAAGTACTGGACACCCCCACCTTAGAGAAGGAGATCTTCATCTTGGCTCATGGTTTGTAGAGGTCTGATGAACCGTGCTTGGCTGGCTCCAAGGCAGGGGGAAGGGGACAGTGGAGGGAAGCTGCTTACCCCATGGCACCAGGGAAGCAGAGAGAGGAGGGAGGAGCCAGGGACAAGAACACACCCTTCCAGGTCACACGCAGTGACCTCCTCCAACCAGGTCCCGCCTCCCAGGAGCACATTCAGCCACGGACTCACCCAGAGGGCACACAGGAAATCAAAGCCATAACAAATGTCATCCACACCAAGCCAGATTTTAAACAAATTACAGAAATACCCTTCAGGCCACTTTCTCAACTCTGTCCTCCCAGCCGGGTGATTCCAGGCTCTGCTCTGTGAGTAGGTTCTCAAGTTCACTGACAGCGCCTGGCCCCACTTTCCTTTCAGATGAGTGGAGACGAGACCTTGTACACACCCAGGAAGAGGCCCCAGCCCATTTAACCCTCCCGAAGGCCTGGGCCATTCCATGACAGTGGCATAAATAAAATAACTTTTATTTGTGCTGGGAATTGAACCCAGGGCTTTCACACTGAGCTACAACCTTACCCCTTTTTTATTATTCATTTTGAGACAGGGTCTTGCTAAGTCACCAAGTTGCTCAGGCTGGGCTCAAACTTGTGATCCTCCTGCCTCAGCCTCCCAGAGAGCTGGGATTACAGGGGTGTGTGTGCCCCATCATGCCTGGCTGTTGTATTGGCTTTGGGTGGTGTACATGGGTGAATCACAAATGGAGGGCTCCTCGTACAGCTGGAACATTTAATGACTTAAAGTCTTATTATTAGAAGACTATGTCCCAGTACCAAACAAACAAACAAAAAAGAAAAGAAAACTATGGGCCCCAAATTCTGTGCTGCACCTCCGTATCTCATGTGAAGGATGATAAGGATAAGAGCAAACTAACAATACTTTATACACAAAGAGGAGTAACTTGAAAATATACCAGCCCCATAACCATGGCAACAAAGAACCTTTCATAAAAATTTGGAGAATTACGATTCTTTGCCTGTATATCTAATTTCTTGTAAAATTATTATCAAGCCCTGCACGAAAGAGCAATTTCCTGCAGAATCCTCCTTCAGGATTTTCAAAACACTCAAGGAACTTTTTACGTTTATGGATGACCAACTTGAGAAAAGTGTAATGCAGTTGTAAGATACTTTCATGCTGCCTTTATTTTTATATTAAAGTAAAAATTCTATAGAACTCCATGATATTTGTACAGAAGAAAACAGATATGCAATTTGGCTATCAAAACCAGTCTCTGGTCACCCTGAGCCATGGACTCTCTCTAGGGAACAGGGACAGTGACAGTGCTAAGCCAGCCTTGAGCTAGAAATTTGGCTTACAGCGACTGCTTCAGTGAACTGCAGGAGCCTTTCCCACGCTGACTGTGGGCTTCTCAGCTCAAGGGAGGGAGTTGTTCGGAGCTCCTGTGTATCCTGCCTCATCTCCCTCCCCTACTCAGCAACACTCAATATACCTGAGATTCTTTTTAGGAAACAAATCAATACTGCTGTTGACAGAGTACAGTGGCTGTTTCCACACATGTGGCTTAGCCTCTGCTCCACACTGATCTCTTTAAGCAAGCCAGGCCACTGCAAACGCTTTCAGAACATGTTTCCCCCCAGTTACCGCCCAACCACCCCTTTAAAGGTAGGGTCTAGGATAAAACAGTTAAGTAACCTGTTAGGCAAAAGCAACACGTTCCCATTATTAAAAGAGGAAGCAAGATTTGCCTAGGCTCCTTAACTTCAGAAGTCTAAGCATCAGCATATGGAACCTTCCTGGGAACAACACTAAGTAGATTAAGCTGCCACATCACTGAGATTGATTTAAAATATTTGGGGCTCTGTTATCATATCCACACAATTTCTGGTAATGTAAATGCCTTGAAGAAAAAAAATCCCTTTCAATGGATTTGCTAAAGCAAAAGCTTAAGGTGAATGGCAAAGCAATGAGTTATTTCATTAAGAGGATGCTGAAAAAAGATGTTTTCAATCTCCTGGTTATGGATTTTTAAAGCAGATTAGTCACAGAACCAAGCTGAGGCCGTGCTGCCAGGATGAGGGCCCTTCTCTTTGGGGCCCTGGAGGGTGCCTCATAGGCATGATCTCTTCTGAAGTCTCAGGCACACAGTTTCCACAGGGGTTCGGATGGCAGCCTGTGAAACGCTGCCTGGACACCTGCACCTTTTCTTTTTGGTACCGGGGATCAACCTTGGGTCCTTGTGCTTGCGAGGCAGGCAGCGGAACCACTGAGCTACATCCCCAGCCCACCTGCACTTTTATTTTTTAAGTGCTTACCTTCCCTTACAATAAAAATAACAGCCACTGGGCTGGGGATGTAGCTCAGTGGTTCTGCTGCCTGCCTCGCAAGCGCAAGGACCCGAGTTCAATCCCCGGTACAAAAAAACAAAACAAAACAAAAAAACAGCAACAAAACGTTACAGTGATTGTAACCGCGTTCATTATGACTACAAGAGTTATTTTTTATGTTATAAGAAACAACAGCTGTAATCCCCATGAGCTGGCCATTTCCTGTCATGTGCTCACCCACTCTGCTCACAATCTCACCTAATCACGAGGGCACGGTGTGCCCAGGGCCCGGGTCCCACCTTCAGATGAGCAGGTTGAGCTCTTGGAGTGAGAGGCACCACTGAGTTCTGTGACTGGGCTGGCTCTCCTGTCTGGGTCCTGGTGACCCCACAGCCTTTCCGTAACCACTTGGCGCCCGACCCACACCAGGTTCCCTTGGCCATCCAGGCTCTGAGCCCAATGGACATGGGATAGAGGACCTTGTCAAGGATCTCAGATGTCAGGGACACACAGGACTCAGTTTGCTAGCTGTTCCTGGAAATAAGGCTTTTTGGTTTTTTCCAAGGGCAGTGTTCACAGAACTTAGGGGTCTTCACTCAACAGTCTACCTCTTGCTCTGCAGAGAGTTGAGGGGCTCAGTGATGCCCCCTTCACCTGTGAGCCCCCTGTGGAGGTCCCCTGAAGCTCCAACAGAATCTTCTCAATTTGGCCAACCCTCAAGAAACTGGAGTTTAATTTATAGTTAAAATCAAAGAAAAAGCTCAAGGCCCGGTCTAGCAACAGCTGCAGCACCCACAGGTGCACATCTCCAGCCCTGAGCTGCCCTGAGCCTTACCTTCATACAGCCAATCACTGAGGCCATTGTAAATGACGCCCTCCTTCCCCGTGGAGACTACACGTATGGCCTGCTTTCCCACATGTGCGCAGTAGTAGATGTTGTTCTCAAAGATGAATATCTAATTTGGAAAGAAGAAAAAACTAGTGTTAACAGAGGAAGTGGGTACAATCAGGTGTTCTTAAAAAATCTGAAATCATCAGGAGGTTTTCATTCTCCTGTTACAATTATTTGAGAGAAGACAAGTGGTCTCAGAATCATTACAGGGTCACCCACCGCAACATCATCCATATTTAGGGATTAACCAGCAACTCAAACTTCACAGATTTTGCTCAAGTTTATCATTTTCCAGGACTGGACAATTTGTGGTATGATGCTTTGGGTAGTCTAACATCAGATCGCATTGGATATTTTAGTGATTGTAGTTCTTGGTGATTAACATTGGTGGGCTGGGAATGCAGAGACTGGGTTCTGGAGACTTGGCATTCGATACAAATCTCATGGTGAGCCCCTGTCTGTGCTAGCCAAGCAGCTGGGGAAGAAAGTGGGAATGGTCATGCGTCAGATGACACTAACCGTCTGGCAAGAGGTCAGACTTTAAACATGGTGTGGCCTCTTCTGAAAGTGATGTAGTCATATGTAAGTGCACAGCTCCAAGGTACTGAGGACATTTACACTGTGACACAACCATCCTACCATCCATCTCCCGAGCTTTCTATCACCCCAAACTGAAGCTCTAGCCCCATTAAACACGGACTCCCCAGACCCTCCCCACTTCTGGTCCCTGTGAATCATCTGTCTATTCTGGATCCTCTTTCCTGAATGTCTTTACAGATGTGATTAAAATATGGTGACTGCTGCTGCCAAATGCCACCCAATGGAAAAGCAGGCTTGTAAAAACACGGTGCAGAGTCCTTATCCACCTATTCATCAGATCTGGCACGGTGTGACTTCTGGCTCTTCCCTAAATTAAAAATGATCATGAAAGGGAAATGTTCTGAATCGATTTAGGACATTGAGGCAGTTAGGACAGCACAGCTAAAGACACTCACAAAACAGAACTTCCATATCTGCTGCAGAAAGTGGCAAGAGTGATGGGATAAGTTTGCTCAAAACAGGGGAAGCATTTTGAGGGGGATTCATGGTAATGTGATTTTTCCCACAATAAATCATTAAAAAAAAAAAAAAAAAGTTAAACATTCACTGTACTTTTTGATCATATCTCCTATGTCTCTGGAAGCTCTTATGTTGTGATTTAATCCATGTGCTCTCTGAGGCCTTGTCTTTTCTGCCTGTATCTGTATAGGTTCTTCCCAGTGGGGTTCTGACCAGCCTCTGCAAACATCCAATGTCTATGGAAATTGAATCATATAAATAGGAATCGAATCCTTTTTATATTTTTGAAAGGAATTCCAGGAAAAATATTGTTAGTGTCACTGAAGAGATTATTGAGAGAAGGTATTTTGTGCAATACAGAAAATGGCATAAATATTGAATGTTTTATACTGAAAACAGTAAAAAGGCAGTTTACTCAGATTGTTCTCAGGGAAGGATGGTTCTGAAAGTCCTATCAATTATTAGTTTTCTGTTCAGTCTTCTTGGCTCTTAAAGTACTCACTTCAATCAGAAATGAACTGGAAAACTTCCAGAAACAAGTATATGTCCTCCTTTAATTTCTCATTTGGTTCTTATGCATTTGCCTAAGGGTAAGATATATCTTATGTTTTAGCTTCCTTTATGTGTTCTAAGCCGCAAAAGATTTTTGAATCTTTTTGCTGTAACCAATTAATATTTTGAGTAAGTAAAATTTTCAGTGGTAGATATTAAATTCTTTTCTGCCTTGGATTTGTTTTTGATGGCAGGGAAGGAAAGAACAAGCCATGAGGAGAGTGCTTGGCTTTGAAGATGTTTCACACTCTCCATCAGCATTCAGGTTAAGAGGGCTGTGTAAAAGACAGTGCTGTCTGCTCTGGCAGCTTGGCTCTGGGGAGATGCTGGGGTTCAGTCAGAAATTGGGGTGCAGGCCATCTTTTCATTCTACCCACTATGTATTCCTTTGTGTGCGGCTGGCAAAGGGCTCCAGCCCTGGAACTTCTGAGAATCTGGGCTCTGCGGAGCGGGACACCTTTCCCAGCAAGGTGGTGACCTCTGGATGTCCTCACACACCCTGATTCCTCAGCCCAGCCCAGCCCAGCCCAACCTCCTTGCAGTGCATAGGAGGGGCCAGGACTGGAGTCCAAGCCTTGATTCGATTCCCCAGTTCATGGCATGTTGCTTCTTGCTAATGACTCATTAACAAAGGAAATGTGTGACTTTTAACCAGAAATGCACCAGAGATCATGGACACACCTTTGTGAGACACAATGCTACCACTCACATCACCTATGTCTACATCTTCCTCATTCAAAAGGAAGGAGAGGACCCACACAAAGGAACATGTATTGGGGCTCACCATGTGGCTGTGAGACCTCCACAGCCAGCTCCTCTTGTCCTCTTATTGGGTTTACTGGAGTCTGCTGGCCCACAACCCTCTGGTCTATGCTGGCCCTGAGTCCTGTGCAGCTTCAGGTGCAGCCCTGGCTCTTTTCCAGTTGCCCACCTGGCTTTCCTGGGACCAGCTGACAGCTCTGGGGCCCTGATGCAACTGTTGCAGCTGAGGACATGGTTCTGGGAGGACCACGTCCTACTCTGCTACCTGGCCTCGCTCTTTCAGAAAGCCCCTCAAAGTCTCTGCCTGGGTTTCCCAGTGACAATCAGAGGTGCATGAGCACAGGAAAGGAGCCACAAGCTTTGCTCGGTGTATTCAGGGTTACTTCTGAGCATCCCTAGTATGCTTGGGGGACACAGGCTTTTCCAGTAAGAGAGAGGACACCGTAGCCACTTCCCTCACGCCACTGTTCCTGTGTCCTATTGGAAGCTCTGCCCTTGGCTTCTTGTCCTGGGGGCAGCCAGTGCATTCCCTCCTTGACACTCTTCCTCCCTCTCCTATCCTGAGTGCTGGGCCCCTCCTGTCCACCCTCCAAGGCCCTGCCCAGCTACCCACTGTGCCTGCACATGGCTCTCCACTGCAGGTGGCACTGCTGAGCAGGTGCAGGAAGCTCCAGGGGAAAGGACGGGGCTGGAAGCGGGAAGGGTGACAGTTGTACCCTGCCAGCAGCCTCCAGGTCAGAGCTGTGTGACAGTCATGTGAGGATTCAGTAGGATCTGTTCAGAGGTGACAGGGGTCTACCCAGACCTCAGCTGGCTGCTGGCAGGTGGGATGGACAGTGACTGGCAGCAAAGCAGGACCGGTGGGTCCAGGGCAGGTGGCGGAACCACATGCTGGGGTCCCCAGGCCCCCACAGGGGGTCTGGCTGGTGCTCACAAGGAGCAGCTGAGGATCCTTGCCCCTTTGGGAGTCCTTGATGACTCCTGCCGACCTCACATGTCAGGGACCCTCTATGTCCCGGGCTGTAAGGCATCCCCATTTATACTAGTTATTCTTTCTTTTCATAAAAACTTATCTTTCTTTGTTTTTAATTTTTAAGTGACACATAGTAATTTACCCAGTGGGTTCATTTTGTCCTCTCAACTTTCTGGATTTCATATTTGATGAGAGCAGGGCCATCGGTCAGGTTTCTTCTGCTCTCTAGCTTCTCCCTGCTGCCCCCAAGGTCACCTTACCCCTGGGTATAATAAGCCACACATTAGCAGTTTTAATAAAAGGAAATATACCTCAGCTTCATGAGAGCTAGGGTAGGGGAGGCTCCCTGGCATCCTGGCCCATGGGAGTCAATGTGGAGCCCCCAAATCTAGCTGGTGCATCATTGTTCCAGAGAGGCTGGGGTGCACCCTGCACCACCCCAGACAGGTCTGACTATGAATAACAACCCCAGGAGCTCTCCCAACATGGTCCCCAGGCAGCCCTGGCCTTCAGCTCAGAACAGTAAGAGGGAGGCAGTGGGAAAAGACAGTCTGTATCTAAGACATGACCCCAAAAGAAAGCACAGGGAAAGGAGAATATCTGGCATTTTGGAGCAATTGATGGGACAGACCTAGGAAGTCCAGAGATGTCAGAACAGAGGAGGGAAATGGAGCCTTCTGGAGATGGCTAAAATGCAGAGAGAGATCTCAAAGCACAGGAAGTTCCACATGCATAAGAGGATGTCAGTGCCATGCTGAAGTGACTGATGACAATAGCAGGTGGACAGGAGAGGGAGGGAAAGCCCAACAGCAAGGGGCTGACCATCTAATTTAAATTGAGAAGTTTTACTCAGTCACATTGGCATGAAGTGAACCACAGCATATATTATATTAGATATAAATTTTAAAGAGAGATTAATATACTATATGCTTTTCAGAAGTCTATGTCCTATGGAATCTGCTTGGCTTTTACCTCTGTTTGCTAAGAGCATCTCCCCGGCTTGTTTCCAGTTGTCTTACAGCTTTACTGTCCTCACCATGAGGATGGGAAGGGCACTACACACTCTGTCCCCAGACCAATCACTGATTTTGAGTGAACAGCTCATGAAACACAGATCAACTGGACAGGAAATAGGGAATCAGGTATATTTGCTGTGTTTACAAAACATCACTTCCATCAGTCTGATATTTTTAATGAAGATTTTGAATATGGTTCCCACACTCATGGTTGTGAATTCTGTGGAAGTTCGATTGACTGGAATTCTCTAGAGGAATGGGAACTTCCATTAAATCTTCTTGGTGAATTTTCCAATGAAGGAAGAGATCTTTTCAGTTTCTGTCCTTATCAGGGAAATATTTCCATATTTTCTACTTCCTTGGTTTATTAAATACAAAGAGGTGTACATATGGAATTGCTGTTAAAGATGGTCAATATGAATACACATTTTTATTGCCCAGGGCTATTGGTGTAGTTGTGGGCAAAGGGATCGGATTAAATCTGTATCCATTTCCAGAAACGGTTTTCCTGGATGTTATGTGTAACCATTTCCTCTTTTCACAAAAGTAGTACACAGAAAAACTCTCCCAGGGTTTAGCATGTGAGGTAGCTGGGGTTTTACGCCTGGAGGCTTGATTTGAATTTTCAGTGAATCTGAAAAGCAAATACAAGTTCCAGGTAACTCACCGAGAGCGGATTGACGCATGTGTGTGTGTGTATAT